GGGAGTCCTAGCTCTTCACACAACGGGGTACAAACACCCCCCGGACGGAGAAGCGGCTCCAGCAGGACATACCAGGACGGGACGGCCTCAGATCTGTTCTGCTTTAGAATTCTACGTTGCCCTTCGTTCATGTGGGTCTTTCCCTGCTAAGAAAATCTACAGCCAGTGAATGCTGAAGCTCTTCCCAAGGGAGAGAGAGATTGGTTTAGGAATAAGCATACATTTGAAGAATACAGAGAGGGAGAGGGAAGGAGAAAATATTTTTTCCCAACAGATTGCAGAGGCTACGTGTGTCTAATCAAAAGGGAACTTTTTTTTTAAATGGAGGTAATGGGGGTGGAACCCAGGCCCTGCTGCATGCTAGGCGTGTGCTCTGCCACTGAGCTCTTGCCCTCCCCCACGAAAGGGAAACTGTTGAAGATTGATTTCTACTTATGAAAACAAGGTGGTATAACAAAGTATTTGCAGGATTTGAATAGGTTCAAAATTCGGTATTATTTGCTGTGTATCAGGATTCTACATGGTGGTAAACTTTAAAATGTGATCTATGGGATAAAGTATTTAAATATTAAGAACTTTAGAGATGTTCTGACCAAGAAGATAATTTTTTATATGTAACTCTTCATCTGGAAGGTCAAAATAGTAACAGCCCATGATGAAAATGGACATGCTAGAGAGAGATTCACTTTGACCAGATCTCAGTTACAAATGAGAGTAATGGCATTTTTAATTAACCAACATAAAAAGCCTCAGGAATACCAAGGAATATATACATCAGACTCAGGGGATACAAAAAAATTTTCTAACCACAAGACAAACTATCTCTACTCTCAGTCTTGTCTTAGGGATTTATAAACTTCGTCCCCCTTTGCACAGCATGCATTTTGTTATTTTATGAATATTAGCATGCCTTCTTTGGCTTTGTTCATTTTCTAGTTGTAATCAGCAACTCGAAGGTTTTTTTTTTCTTTCTTTGTGTAGAAATTGCAATGGTTTTCTCTTTTGCAAAGCTCCATAGGTGAAAAAAGAAAAATATATCCCATGGCTTTTTCATAAATAAAAGGTTTCCCAGTTGGTACCAAGACTTCAAAAGCAGCATTTAAAACGTGTGTTACAAAGTAAGAGTCTATTTCCAAGGGATATTGTTTATTTTGCCTGTTTTTCCAATGTCTTAGGAAAGCAGAGTGCCATTTGGTTTTCCTAACATTTTCATTTTAATTTGCTATGATAGGATTAAAAAAAGATTCCAATTCATATTTTTCCTGTTATCTCTTCCTTTAGAGGTACAGTGGCAGTAGAAAGAATGAATTAAAGTAATGTGAATTATTTTCTACATACCTGACATACACCATGAGTCACTGTGTGTAACATTGCCAATGGATTGTTCGTTGTAGGACTGCGCTCCTGGGGGTTTTACAAAGCTGAGTCAGCTGAACTGAATTAATGATTGATTTCTAAAAGCTCCCTTTAAGTAAACAATCTATTTTTGCCTTTTTATATCCTAGGTGCCCAAACCAGTAGATTATTCTTGCCAACCCTGGTAAGTATTAAAAATGTTTATGTAGCTAAGTTGAAATATCATACCCTTAGCTCGAGGACGCCTTAAACATGGGAGTAGTAAACAGCGTTCCATTTCCATTTGTCCTGGCTAAAGGTGTTTTCAGATGCAACAAAACACCATAATGAATTTATGTAGTGGGGTGTGTGTGTGTGTATACAACTGCATGTACCTGACTGTAAATTCAAAGTTTGTAACAGCCACAGAGGGGGATGGGATATGCGCAAATATATATATATATATATATATATATAGTATTTTAGAAGAGTCGATTTCATGAAGCAGAGGAAAAAAGTATAATTCCATTGTCTGAAACTAAAAATTAGCCCAGAAAGGATAGTAGAGCCTAAAAATAGAGTTTACAACACACAATATGGTAGGAGCAAGATGTAGCCACATCTAAAGTTTTAGGTCTGTGTGGAGCTCACTTACCACTTGGAGGCTGGCATTAGCACTTACAGAACCAAGGAAGCAAAGTAGATAATGATTATTATTTTTTAGACATTATGAGTTTAAGGGGAAGTGAGATCTTCAACTGGAAAAAAATCTATTTAGAATCTAGGACAGTTATAATCATCATGTAACAACCAACGTATACTGGGTACTTACACGTTTTATTTCATTCCGTCTTTCTGGTATCTGTATAAGGAAGGTTGTTATTAATTTTACAGATGAGGAAACAACGATTAAGGCCAAGCAACTAGTCAGTGGTAGATAGAGCCAGGATTCCAAGTTATTCCATTTCCACCATCTGTCAAAGTACAAATCATAAGTATGTTTACTTTTATGTTTGCTGAATTTTGAATTTGGCTTCTCTTAAAAGATGATTGGATCTGTTTTCATTTTGATATTGAAATACATACATACAAATTAGATATCAGGATATGTATATAAATGAGATTCTGAGCATGAAACAGTGCTAGTTCAGTTTGCAAGTGTAGATAGCACCTGCGTTGTCTGATACTGTTAAAATATTCTGATTATTTGGTTACATAAACAAAGCATGGGAAGTGCCAGGTTGCTGTACGAATACATTGTCCCAAGTACAGGATTCCTCTCCTCAGCCCTGTCCCTGGCACACCTGCCTTCTGCAGCCATGGTCTCCTTTCTCTGACATCCCCCCCTGGCCTTCAGCACTGAGCTTGCTGAAGAAATTGAAGCAGGCTTGTGACGGACCTAGAAATCTTTGCTATTTGTTTAGTTGGTTTAAGACAGATTCAAGGTCTTAGTTTTCATGGAATTAAAGACTGTAATCCTGAAAGCAATTAAATTTGAATAGAGCTGATAGCATCCATGATCAAACTGAAAAAATATCAAGAACTGGTGAGATCCTGCGAGTGTGAAGATTTCTCTTTTCTTTTAGTATTTTTCATAGAAGGCAGAGTAGTTACAAAAATAATGATTTTTAGAGATAGTCATGCCACAGACTACACGGATTTTATGAAATAAACTGATGAGTTACCTGGGAACCATTTGGGGGACACAAGAGATTAGCCCTTGATTCCTTTATTTTAAAATGTTCTTTTGTGCCAGTTTGTAAAATTCTATTGAAAATATAACCATTTAGAATAGTTTGTTCCTAATGATTAAAAAAAATGAAGATGTTCACATGAGGGAAGACCCTTGAAAATAGGAAGAAATAAAAATGTGGAATTTTTAAATTACTTTTTTTTTAATCAGCTTGGACAATTTATTCACACTAAGCAGTTAGTTTCATATTAAATGCCTTCTGCTGGGACAAAATGATCAACTATACTGGAAAATAGAACCTTCAATTCTAGAATTACTAAACTGTTTAGAGAAGATGACACTGTGGTTCTCAAGTCGTAAAGAAGTTGAATATCACCAACTGTATAGTGTATTCATTCTTTCCATATTTACAAACAAGTTGTTACCACAACGTAGACTTTGTCTCTCATACAGACCATGGAATACACCACAATTCAAGC